CCGCCCCCGAGCTGCTCCCAACAGCTCCTCGCAGCAGGGACGGGCAGGAGCGGTGGCTTGGGGACACGGCTCGGCCCTGCCTGCCTTCTGAGGCAGCGCAGCCTGGAAGAGACCTCCAGCCTGCTGCCGCTCCTCCCTGGCCCTCCCTGCGCCTGGCCGAGGTCCTGCCACCCCCTCTCCTGCATGACCCATCTGCTGACACGGAAATCCCTCTCCGAGCTCACCCACGCATCCCTACCCCGCCTGGCTGTGCCCTGTGTGTGCTGCCATCCCCACCTCTCCCTCCTGCCAGGACCAACCTCCAACCGCTGGAAGGTGGCAGTGGGACATTGGGGTCCCGAGCAGAGGCGCTGGCACACAGCAGCATGGGACAGGGTATACAGAGGTATCGGTGGCCAGAGGACAGGAGTGCTTGGGATACCCTGCAACGGGCACCTGCTCCCGTTTGTGGCCAGTCTGGGAGCTCCCCTGGACACCAGACCACACTGCTGGGGACACCGCAACGTGGCCTTCCTCCCCACTAGGACTCTACATCCCCCCATGGCATCCAGCCTGCTCCTGTGGCAGAGGGTACAGCTCATACCGACCCCGGGGTCTCACCCACACCTCAGTCCTCAGCAGCCCTCAGTCCCAAGCAGACCAGGGCAGCAAGAAGCAACGGACCTTCCTCAGCATCCGGGCTAAGCCCTGTGGAAGAGCAAGAGCTCCTGTCTGTGAGGTGCTCAGCTAGGGGTTAGTTGCAGGCAGATCTAGCGCAGACAGAGCTGGCGAAGGCCAGAGCAGCAGAGAAGCGACAAAGCGAAGCAGAAGCAAGATGGAAGTGGATGGGGAGGAAGACAACTGTGCCAATCCTCACCCCACTGAGTGTTTCCACAAAGAGCAGGGGGGACATCAGGCCTCTGGTTCGTACCCCTTCAGCTGTGGCCTCATAGAGGCTGCAGCAACAAGCAGCTGACAAATGTGCTTGCAGAAAAGAAACAAGCTCTGGATCCCTTGGAGGCCCCCACAGACCCCTGTCAGCCATGGGCGTCTTGGAGTCTGGTGGTGGATCCCAAGATCTTGGATTCACTTTTCAGGAAGGTGCAAACCAGAGATGTGAAGGACCACCCCTGCAGACACCAGCAGTTTGCTCCCCTTCGAGGGCTGGCAGGCGTGCCCCTGCCAGCACACGGCCGATGCCGGCACTGCACCCCCAGCCCCGGTCCGGGGCCAAACGACTGCTTGGAAATGGCAGGGTTTGCCTACAAAGCAAAGCGGGGAGGAGGGTGTGGTGGCAGCGGGTGCAGGGAAGTGCTTGACTTCAGAGCACCAGAACCTGGCAGCCATGCCAAGGAGCCCAGGACAACGAGAGGAAGGACAGTCCATGTCCTCGTGCTGCGTGCCCTGGCTCCCTGCCCCACGCCGAGCTATGCCTTCTGTGCCACAAACACCATCACCCTGCCAGGAGCTGCCTGCGCCCAGCCACCCTGTGCAACCTCACCTCACCCGTCAGCTCCTCCCCAGGCTCAGCCCCACTGTCCCTCACCGCCTCACCTCTCACCCGCGCACCCACGCTGACTGTGCACCGTCACCAACCCTAACCACCCTGCTAGCACAGCCCTGGCCTCCTCTCCCACCCTCTCCACCATGCAGAGAGCCAGACCCCTGCCAGCGGCTCTGTCCCTGCTCACCTGGCTCCTCGCTCCCTCTTAGAATCATAGAACCGTTAAGGTTGGAAAAGACCTCCAAGATCATCAAGTCCAACTGTCAACCCAACACCACCATGCCTGCTAAACCATGTCCTGAAGTGCCACACCTACACCTCCAGGGATGGTGACTCCACCACCTCCCTGGGCAGCCTGTTCCAGTGCCTGACCACTCTTTCACAAAGAAATTTTTCCCAATATCCAAACTAAACCTCCCCTGATGCAAACTTGAGGCCATTGCCTCTCGTCCTATCGCTAGTTACTTGGGAGAAGAGACCAACACCCACCTTGCCACAACCTCCTTCCAGGTAGTTGTAGAGGGCAATAAGGTCTCACCTCAGCCTCCTCTTCTCCACACTGAACAGCCCCAGCTCCCTCAGCCACTCCTCATCAGACTTGTTCTCTACACCCTTCATCACCTTCGTTGCCCTTCTCTGGACACGCTCCAGCACCTCAGTGTCCTTCTCGTAGTGAGGGGCCCAAAACCAAACACAGTACTCAAGGTGTGGCCTCACCAGTGCTGAGTACAGGGGCACGATCCCCTCCCTACTCCTGCTGGCCACACCATTCCTGATATAAGCCAGGATGCCGTTGGCCTTCTTGGCCACCTGGGCACACTGCTGGCTCATGTTCAGCCGGCTGTCGACCAACAGCCCAAGCTCCTTTTCCATCAGGCAGCTCTCCATCCACTCCTCCCCAAGCCTGTAGCGTTGCATGGGGTTGTTGCGACCCAAGCGCAGGACCCAGCACTTGGCCTTGTTGAAACTCATACAACGGACCACGGCCCATCGATCCGGCCTGTCCAGATAATCTCATGTCCCTGCCCACTGCCCCGTGCCTGCTCCCTCATTCCCCCAGCAAAAAACCTCATCTGCTTTCCTCTCCCCCCTGCAGCAGCACCATCAGCAGTGGCTAATCCAGCAGCATCTGGAGGGAGTCCTCTTCTTCTGCCTGATCTTGAAATGCAGCTCGCAGGGGGACAGGGACCAGGGGGTAGCACAAGCAGCTGTCAGCTCGCCGTTTGCTGCGAAGTGGGGACGCTCCAGCTCAGCACACAAGCCCATGCAACGCTGGAGCACAGCACGCCCGGCACACCCCCTCGGCATGGCTCCGTCCCTGCCGCCACACACCCTGCCCTCTGCCCCCGCTCCCTCCAGGCTGTCCTGCCCCTGCCAGGACCGGGGGGCTACGGTCAGGGACCACCCCAGCTCTGTATGGTCCCGGCTGCTCTGCACCACCTCCTGCCGACCCCTACACAGCGATCTCGTCCTCCAGGCTGTCGCCCAGGTCCTGCCTGGGCTGCACATGGAGCAGGCGCGGTGGTTCCTCCTGGGACCAGGAGTCGCGCTCCTCGCTCTCGTCCGTGTTGGACTCGTACTCGGAGGCGATGCCCGACTCACGGAATTTGATGAGCTCCAGGCTGCCCAGCGTCGGCTCTGGGGCGGGTGGCCCTGAGCCCGGCAGAAAGCGGTAGCACTCCAGCTTCACCAGAGAGTCGAGGTGATCTCCAGCAGACTGTCCTGGGAGCCTGCTGCAAGAGAAGGGCACGGCTGAGGGGCAGGCAGTGCCACCCCGGCTTGCCTGGGCGTCCCCTGGCCACCACGGCTGGCTGCAGACTGGCCAGAGGAGGACGGTCTGGGGCCATTCGGTGCCAGCCTCCCCGCCACCACCATTTTGAGGGGCTCACTTAGTGCCTCTGGTGCCAGGAGCTGCTGCTGGCCAGCAAAGTGCCAGTTTCGCAGGATAAAACGTTATCTGTCTCCCACCCCAGCTCCTCTGTGGAGCTGATGGCCATGTCCGCTGGAGAGGAAGGTCAAGGATGGGCTCTTCAGCAGGTAAGGAGCTGGCCTAGAGCATGCAGCCGCTGGGAAAGCAGACATACAGCTGATGGACGTCTGTGACTACCCGTCCATACAGCCCTCCCCACGCCCCTTCCCACGCTGCACCCAAGCACCCTTCCGCACCTGCACAAGCCAGGCCAGAAGGGCACTACTGTTCCCCTCACGCAAAACCACTGGCAATGCACAAAAACCCCATGAGAAACACCCATTCACACGTCTTCCACGGACCCGGCTAGCTGTGAGGGGAGAGGAAGGGGCAGGAGCGCTTACTGGTGGTGTTCCCCGTCAGCTTCAGCTCCAGCTCCTGCACCTGTTTGACCAGGAGCGAGATGTGCTGCAGCAAGTCCTTGTTCTGGAGCAGGAGCTGGTGCACGCGAGCCTGGGCCTCCAGCCGTGCTGCCGCCTCCGCGGCGAGCTGGTCCTTCAGCAAGTGGACCTGTGTGACAGGAGAGGGTGGGTGAGCGTGTGGGAGACGCTGCTCGAGGGCTGAAGGCTTCGATTCCGGCTGTCGCTGCTCCTCTACCAGGGCTCACCAGCACCCCACCAAATGATCTGATGGAGAAGCCATTCCCTGCGGATACCCACAGATGCGATGGGGAGAGTGGGGGCAGGCGGCAGGGTCACACCAGCGCACGCCCACCAAATCGTGGTCCCCTGGTCTCTCCGATGGAAAAGCCCGAGGCAAGGGGAGGCAGCGCTGGTGGAACTGGCAGTCACGCACGCGTGCCACGACCGCACGAGGAAAGGGCAGACCAGGAAGCCAGACAGATGCGGAAGAGAATCACAGAATCATTAAGGCTGGAAAACACCTCTCAGATCATCAAGTCCAACTGCAGACCATCAAGTCCAACCACAGAAGAAACACTCGACCTGTTGTCCCAAAAATGGGATAGTTTACCCAGTGTGCAATACCCTAAATATTTCTGCCCAGTATCACACCAGCTGGAAGGTGCTGTGGGTGCACGAGGGCGCAGCCGTGTGCCGTCCCTGGCCGAGCTGTCTGTCCGGGCAGGTTTCCCAAGATGAGGAGCTACTGGAGAGAGTCCAGAGGACGGCTACAAAGATGATTAGATGGTTAGGGGACGGGGGCATCTCTCCTATGAGGAAAGGCTGAGGGAGCTAGGCTTGTTTAGCCTGAAGAAGAGAAGGCTGAGAGGGGACCTTAGAAATGCCTACAAATATCTTAAGGGTGGGTGTCAGGAGGACGGGGCCAGACTCTTTTCAGTGGTGTCCAGCAACAGGACAAGGGGCAATGGGCACAAACTGAAGCAGAGGAAGTTCCGTCTGAACATGAGGAAGAACTTCTTCCCTCTGAG